ACGGGACCTGAACCTGTTCAGCCTCCACAAGAGCAGGCTGAGGGGGATCTAGTGGCCTGGTACAAACTAGTCAGAGGGGACCAGCAGGCATTGGGTGAGTCCCTGTTCCCCTGAGCACTGCCAGGAGTGACCAGGAATAACGGTCACAAGCTGGCAGAGGGTAGATTCAGATTAGACATCAGGAGGCGCGACTTCACTGTCAGGGCGGCTAGGATCTGGAACCAACTTCCAAGCGAAGTGGTGCTGGCTCCTACCCTGGGGGTCTTTAAGTGGAGGCTAGATGTACACCTTGCTGGGGTCATTTGATCCCAGTACCTTTTCCTGCTATGGCAGGGGGTCGGACTTGAGCTGCTCAGGTCCCTTCCGACCCTACTAACTATGAATCCTGCTTAAAGATCTGTCGATGCCCATCAGAAGTTGTGGGCTGGTGCAGAAATGGCTGGTGGGGTTATTTCCAGTGCTGCTCTGCTGCCCTTGTCTCCAGCGGCAGCTGCCCAGCTGTAGCTTGCCCCCTGCATACTCCCACTTGCACCCCCACCAGGCAGGGTGCGCAGGGAGTGGGTTGGCCTAGCCCACCTGTCCCACTTCTCAACACAGCTGCCTGCCCAGACCCCCATAGGGAGTTTTGGTGAGTTGTTTTTTGGATGATCATCAGCTGTTAGATGATTACAGCGACCCCTTCTAGCCTTAAGATCTTTTATCTCATCTCTGTGTCTAGATAAACGTGCCAAGATGGAAGGAAAATATCTGAAAAAATCTGTGTTTTCCCTCTTTCTCTTTCCTTTATTTCCTATTTTATGTGCGTTTCCCTCAAAACTATTTTTTTTTATGCCTTCCCTAGAATTTCCCCCTAGATGTTACCTACTCATGGCAGATACAGAACAAACTCATGTCTTTTCCACCACATTATTAGGCATCCCTTCCCAGTTTGGGGACTACAGCAGGCTGGGAGGTTTGAAAACCTAATCTCTCTTTAATGGAGTCTTTCGGTATTCAGCAGGTGGTGAATGCACAGTGTGAAAGGGTTGCCTAGGATGACTTGAGGGCATCCCATATCAGTACAAAAAACAAATCCTAATCTGATCAGTGTACAGATTAATGATCTACACTTCAGGGAATAAAGTAAATCTTGACTCGCTGACCATCTGCTGTCAGAAAGGTCTGAATAGCTGAGCTGAGATCAATCTGACAAATGAAGACATTCTGGATAGAATCCATATATTTGGCTGTATCTATTGGCATCACCGATGACTTTCCTGTTCCTGTAATCTCTGGTTTGTGGGGAAGGATTACAAACCAAAATTCAAGTATTAGCCTCTGTGCCCAGAGGGCCCTCCTGTGACAGCCGTGGGCGTTCTATACAAGGATAGAGGCTGGGATCTGTGTGTGTAGCTGTACGCTCACGCTGCGGGCATGTTTTTGATCGCAAAAGAGAGCTGCTCTTTCTCTCTTGGTCTTGTGGCCCGACTGGAGAGTATTGAAATAAATGGACATGATGTACTGTGGCACCTAGCAGTTCTGGAAAACATCTGGATAGAGTTGTCATAATTTCTCAGCTGCTTTCTGAAATCACTGGTTAAGAAACTTAAAGGACTGCACATACTTGTCTTTATTGTTTTCTTCTTTCTTCCTCACTGTTCTCTCTCCACCACAATTAAAATATGCACAAACATCTTCATTGTTTTATCTTAGAAATCATTGGTTCGTGCTTGGATCTGTGAAGCGCCTTTTATTTTTAATACAGCAGAATACGTGTTCCTGGTGGAATGTCAGCAATTGTTTAAGGAAAAAACCCCTTATTTTATTGGAAGTTTAAATCAAAGCTTAAATTTGGATAACAAACAACAGTATGGAGTTGCTAAACATTTTACACTGCATTTTTAAGTTAGCCACACGCACGCACACGCTAAGACAACAACAAAACAGTGAATAGTGGTGTATTTATAATGTATTATGACCACATTTTCATCTATTCTGATTGCTCTGCAGATTTATGACCTGCATATGCAATATGTAGATGGGATATGCATGTGAGAAATTGAAAAGCCAAGTGATAAATGAATATCTCATGCGGGTGTATTGTCTTGACTTTTCTCTTCCTATTATTTTAGCTCTCTGAGGCCATCCCTAACATTCCCAGTCCCTGAATAGCTACAGATAAGAACCATTTAAAAATAAATCAGCTTGACATAAAAAAAAAAAAAACAAAAACCCTTTTCACTTTCTTTCCAAAATATGAACTTCTTCCCCATTTGTAGGGACCCAGGGCTCAGGTGAAATGAGATTAAATTCTTCACCTGCAACAACTTTTCTGTGTGTAATAGGTATTGGTCCATGGAAAATGTATTATTTTAGCAGGACTAAAAATAGAGCTTTTTATACCACTGCCGAAATGGGGAGTGTTCCGCTTTATAGCAGGCTCCAGCAGTACATCAATTTGAGGAAGCTCCCAAGATAATGTTCCTTAAAGCTGTGATCTTTTTCTATAAAGAAGAACATTGTAAGTTGCTCTTGTGGTCTCTTGTAAGCCCGTTAGAGTTGCACTGATAGTGATTCAGGCATAATAGAGAAAAATGCTGATTAATTGCAATACATTTATAAAAAACACTAATAAGTATCTATTTTAGTTTAGGCAGAGAAGGCAATATCTGTTATTATTAAGATTGCTCAACACGTCCTTTGATAAGGCATTTTTCATTTTTAATATATGTGTCACACACAGAGCATATGGTATATCATTATAGGCATGAGTGGTAGTGCTATCTATGATTAATGTTACTTGGCACTTTTAGTTATAAGACCCTGATTTTGGTTGCATGGAACTTACTCAAATGGTAACAATTTGGACTTGATTTTTTTCTTACCGAGCGTCTCCTTGAGCCAGAATATTTGGAAAGGTTTAGCCAAATCAGTTCAGCTATTTCTGAGAACAATACTGTATTAGGGGAAAATAGTCTTTTGTTAAAGAAACTCTAGCACCCTCATAATTTGGAGCTGGGAACTGAAATTTGTCATGGGGGTACCTTTATCTCTGTCTAGCCATAAACATACCCATAGGACAAAAATACATTAATTAAAACAACAATTTTTAGAAAAAATGATTACCTCTCTTTGGTTATAGCTGCCGATTGTTTCCTTCCCACTGGCACCTGAGGGAAATGTCTTAATATTCATGGCCTAAAGTGGGATATACTGTACTACTTCAAGGGTTTGCATTTAAATTGTCATGCTTTCACCCTTGCAGTCCCTTTTATCAATGTGTGTATATAGGCCTTCCCCCCATACAGGCATTTCTCTGGTTGCAGAACTAACTTCCTTCTTCCCTGTTTGTGTTGCACTTGGTGGTAAAGCCCTGACTATGCCATTCTAGATCTGGAAAGCAGGTTTCCGAGTGTGCAGTCTAAAGCTACCTGTAATGCAGGTTGTTATTATTAGTTTAACAATAGGATATGTTTAGAGTATTTCAAACCCAATACTTGCCCTGTTTGTAAGAGACTTTGAGGTTTGAAAGAATTTTCATTCTGCCCTGTTGTCATCAAGGTTTTGATTGGCAGTGAATAGTGCTTTTATTGATGGGGTTGGGGTTTATTTGGGAAAAGGAAAGAGGTAAAGGAAGGTCACTTGTAGATATCCTGATGCCAATCTGAAGTTTACCAGTTGCTGGGAGTCTTTCCATTAGCTTTATTGGGCTTTGGGTCATACTCTTGGTAACTTTTCTACATTATAGCAGCAGGATTCATGCAAAGTCTGTAAAGACTGCTGAAGTTAATGGAAGTGTGTCTTTTGACTTGGAAATAAGTCCAGAATAACACCAGAATAGCTCTACTGACTATTGAAACTACAGTATTGTCAGTCGGACATGGTTGGTCCCTCAGAAACATAGAAAAAAGCAAAGGACAAAATATTGTAGTTTTACATAGATTTACTTTTGATTTTTAGGTGATGGACAGGTCTATCCCCAATCGGTTTATTTTCCATTTTCTGTGGGCCTTGAAGCTGGAGCCTCAGAGAATAGAGAGGGGAAATTGTTTCAACCTGCGACTGATATTAGTCAACTAGAAAGAAAAGACTTAAGTCTTAGTATACTTTACCCATTTTTCTTCTTTTTCACAGGTTGGACAAAGTTTGCTCGGCTGACGCGAGCTTTGACGAACAGCCGGAGTGTTTTGCAGCAGCTAACGCCAATGAACAAAGCTGAGGTGGTGCACAAACATTCAAGATTAGCTGAGGTGAGTGTGAGACATGGACCCGTGTTAGTAAGTCCCAAGTGATGGGTAAGAAAATCAGCACCTTGAGAAACAATGGTTTTATGTGAAGATTAACTTTCCTAGCAGCTACCTTTCAACTATGTTTTTTGCCAGTATTAAAGAACTTGTTAAATACACATTGCCACCTTTTTAGAACAAGACACAATTCATTTCACCTGGAAACAAATATAGATCTCTCTTACTTGGTGTCTCCATGTTTCTCCGTGTAATTCCCAATTTGTTGCATCAATCAAATGCAGAGCCTGGCTTGCATGCTTACTCTATCTGAGTATAGTTTTTACATTCACATGGGACCAGGTTGGGCCCAGAGGGTGCCTCTACACATGCAATTAGCTTATAGCAGTAAACTACAATGAACTCTGGTGAAGTTTGTGCCAGAGTTCATTGCTCCCGGGTGCAGGGTTTGCGTGTGTGCCTGGGACCGTAGCAATTTGAGCCAGGGCAGAGCAGCTACAGGCTGGAAGGAGGCCCAGGGGTCAGCCTGCCAACCTGGGGCTGGTCTGCCCCAGCTTAGCGTGCTGCAGAGTGGCTGGCTGGGGCATGAGAATGCTATAGTGTGGGACTAGCTGGCAGGCATCCCCTTCACTGTAGCACCCTTGTGCTCCAGCCAGCCCCCGTCACCACCTACATGTGCGTTTCGACACATGTAACTCCTCTGCTATAGAATAGTAGTTGTCCCAGACATTACTATCTGACAATGGCATTAATTTCCTGCGCCCTAATATGGGTGCATGTGTAGACAGTGACACTTTATTGAGGGACTAATTAGTTGGCTCCACAGCAAAGTGCACATGTAGATGCACCCAAAGAGTACTCCTCAGCTCCTCCTCTACTCAACTTACCCTTCAACTAGTCCTGAAAGAAGAGCATCAGAGAGACAAGATGCTAATCTACATGAGCTTTATATGCAAGGTGAATGCAAACATGTTTTTGTTGATGATGTTTTACCCAGCTCTGAAAATCTGTCCTGCAGCATTTTATCCACCTTTTATTTTTTAAAGGCTGTAAAATAAACCCATTAGTAGGCCAAAAACATTCCTTAAACAGTACAAATAATGCAACAGGTGAATGCTTTCTGATTAACTGCTGAAATACATTTATTGCTGTCATCTTCATGTCCATTGGTAGGTAGAAACTGCCAAAATATACGAGCTACTAAAAGTGACAGTGCTAGTCACTTTGTGCCAGAGGGCTGGTTCTGAGTTTAGCATTAAAGATTGATAGCAGCAGAAAATGTATCCAGTTCTCTTTGTAGTTTTAGTGCACTTTGAATTCATGGCTGTAGAATTTTATTATAATAAGTTGAAAATTTCTAGTGTTGTCACTGCTGCTTTTTTTAATGCAATACCTTGTACTGCACTTGAGAGAACTTGGCTGACCAGAATGATTGCTTTCATCTTTTGCTTTTCTAATCTGAGAGTGCTGCATAAACCAGGTTGTATCCTCTGGGGTCTTGTGGGATTAGGAGGTATGTAGTGAAGGAAATTTCCATTCCAGTTTGCCTGTGGCAGAATGTATTGCCCACGCTTGCCAAGTTTTTAACTATTACCAACTATGGATGTCACGTGTATACAAGAATAATAATAGGGGGGTCTGCACTGAATAAAGCGGTGCAATAGAAAGCATTTGTAGGGTTTTAAACTAAAAAAAAGTCACGCAGTATGAAGTGGAATCATAATAGTTCATTGTGCTCCACAGCCACATCTTCTGCCTCCCACATACCATGTCAAGCTGAGCATGGTATTATTTTAAGAACGATAATAATGTCTCTTTGTTTATAATACTGTTGTGTACTCGCAGTTCCCAGCCTTTTTTTGCATATGAGCCTCCACTTTTGAGCTCGCAGCTTCACTTCGGTATGAGCCCAATTGTCATAATTGAGTTTTCACGGAACCGGTGATCCCACTCGTAATGTCCTACAATCCCACTTGGGGTTGTGATGACTAATTTAAGGATAGCATGCTAATCTAAGAACCTCCATGCTACATTACAATGCAGAGTAGGCATGCCTATGGTTTCTGTCCCAAAACTATTATAGTTTAATCTGAAACAAGACACAACTGAGTATCCATATCAAGTGGGAGTCACAAAACTCCTTCCGAATTGTTCTGGCCACTTGTCCTGCCAATGAGTGCAGCCTTTGCATGAAACCGAGGGCTCAGTATGTTTTTAACTCAGTAATAGTTTCTCATTCCTTGCTCCTAACTCCATATTTGTCAGCAGGTTTTTATCACTGCACCCCACGGGACCTAGTTTAAAGCTCTCCTCACTCTGCTAGTCAGGCAATGCCCAAAAATGCTCTCCTCGGTCTTTGTCAATCAGGTCTCATCCTGCACGTCAGCTGCATTTGACAGAAATGTGTTTTGAGACATATCACTGGTAGTCTCCATTACCCCCTATCCAACAGGCTGTTTGGAAACAAATGTCAAAATAGTGAAGTTCCTGTTAAAAAAAGGTTGCTGCGTAATTGCCACTGTTAAATTACAAAAGAGCATCGCTGATGCGTAGGGGTTGTTGTGTAGTGACGCATCATTCAACCAGCAGCTGAAAACAAGAATTAAGAATGTAACGGCCCTCTTAGGCCATCGCATCCAGTTCTTTCCTGTTAGCAGTGGATGGAAGTGTTGTTAGGGTCTTGAAGAAGTAATGGAGCAAAATTTTGGGACATAAGAATTGTCCATTTTACAATAATGTCACTTGTACATCTGATGGGGAACAATGGTTATAAATGGCAGTGGTATTACAAGAGATACCCATGAAGTTATTCATAAGCATCATCCCAGATGCTGTGATAGGCAGTGACCACAGCAGGTTGAGGTGGCTGAGCTTCAAACAGGACACAGCCAGACCTGTTGGCTTACTAATGCTTGACCAGAGGTGATCTGGAGGGCAGTGCAGAGACGAGTAGAACATCGCTAGTTGATTATTTGTATGTCTTAAAATTCTTTATGTCAGTGTTGATTAAAACTGCTATTAAGTTTGCCTGGGGCAGAAGGATGCCGGGAACTGTATCCTTAAGAAGCTGCGGCATGATCTGTTTTGACTTGCCTATTGTATTATGCAGAGGCTCATATTAAACTGTTGCATCAGTTAGGACTTAGACCCTGAATGAAGCCCCCCACCACCTAAACTTTGCATTGTTCTTTCCAGAAAAAGAAAAGTGAAGCTAAGAATTAGCTGGAAATTCAAACCTGCAAGACTTGATCCATGCTCTTAAATATTGTTCTGCTTATTTCAGAACCACCCACTCCTGTTCATCAAGCACATGTTCCGGGTTTGATCATTTTGACAAGCATGGTGTGCCTGTGTGCCACGTAGCTGCCACTGTAAATATGACACATCAGCTCTGGTAGAGGGTGCTGAAAGCCGATGTGGCAGTGTAATGCGTTCCTGGAGATTGAAATAATGTATTTTATCCGGTGCCTTTGAAATCCAAATTCTTAAATCTGCTGTTGGATCCAGTTATGTGTGTGTGCGCGCGTGTGTGCGTGCGTGTGTGTGCACACATGAGTGTGTGTGTGCGTGGATCTTTCAGGTGTCAGATCAATAGGTCTCCTCATCAGGGTGTTTACTGCTCTGTTCCTTCCTGCTTCTGTTTCTCATGCTGGATGGAGATAAGTGCTAACTTGGCTAGTTAGGATAATGTCCTTGGAAATTCTCTTGGTTTTTTTTAACAATGTTTACTATTCTAGATTATGTAAAGGGGGAGAGGGTGCGAGTGCGTGCAGAAGATACTGGGCAGAGGCAGACTTCTTTAAAACAGTGTTTTATTTTGCATCAATAAAACGAAATATTGAGTCATTGCTGATGTTGAGTTTTTTTAAATGGCAATGCATTTATATGCAATATAAGAATGAGTAAGGAAGTATACAGTGTAATTTTATCTATTCATATGCTTTCAGGAAATTAGAGCAGGTGTTATAAACATAACATTTTATTTTAAGAAGAGGTTAGTTAATGGTTACCAAAAACACCATTGTGTAGGAGAAAGTTGATACTAGATTTTTTAATTAGAGTTCAGGCATGAATGATGAGGTGTACAGCACCTGCTGTTAAGAATGAGATTTCATATTTTTAACGTGTCAGTGCTGGCCTGGCTATACCCAGATGGATCTTATGCCAGCTAGTTGGCAGAGCACCTTGCTTTGAACTTCTGTACACTGGCTGTTGGCATTGTCTCCTCTCTGTCCATCTGAAAATGATCTCCTTCTAAGTAAGATTACCCTTACGCTCTATGGTTTTCCCAGTCATTGAGTGAGAGCTGCCTCCACCCAATCCTACATGATTTATGCACTGATGAGATCCCTAGATTAAAAAATTAAATAATTTAAAAACTGCAAGCATCTTCAGAACGGGCAGGATGCAATGAAAATGTTCTCTTCCTTATTCTATGTATTCCATAAATGTGTACAATCCCTGTTATATACAATGCTAAGTGAAAGCCATAACATTTGCGCTCCTTTCTCTTACAGGTTCTCCAGCTTGGATCTGATATTCTTCCTCAGTATAAACAAGAAGCTCCAAAGACTCCCCCCCACATTATTTTACATTATTGTGCTTTTAAGACCACCTGGGACTGGGTCATCTTAATTCTAACCTTCTATACAGCAATTATGGTTCCTTACAATGTCTCCTTCAAAACAAAGCAGAACAACATCGCCTGGCTGGTACTGGACAGCGTGGTGGATGTTATTTTTCTGGTTGACATTGTTTTAAACTTTCATACAACCTTTGTTGGCCCTGGAGGAGAGGTTATATCTGATCCCAAACTCATAAGGATGAATTACCTGAAAACATGGTTTGTGATAGACCTTCTGTCCTGTTTACCTTATGATATCATCAATGCCTTTGAGAATGTGGATGAGGTAAGCTGTGCCCATCTATGTGAAATTGCAGTCTATTATTTTAATTACCAATTAATTTGGGATCACATTCTGCATCTTTCAACATAATTAGTCAAATGAAGCTCTGTGCAAATGTGTGTGTATAGAATTTGGCTTTGGAAAGGGAAATTGTCTCACCGAGCAATAAGTGAGAACACTCACGGCATGCGTGATTTAAAAGTTACTCAGGTATGAATCTGAAAATTGCTTGTGCTAACTTAAATTGGTTCCCACTGAAGCCAGTGGTAAAGCTTCCATTGACTTGAGAGAGGACAGAAAGCCTGAACTTTGAACTTTTTTGAGTCCCACCGAACAGTGTTATTTGCACCCTGCTGTAATGCTTTTCCTTCTAGTGACTTGTTTAATTTTTGTTTGAGAGACTGTTGACATTTTAATTAGCGCTATAGCTGGAACTTTTAGAGACCATTTGAGGAAAAAAAGTGAAAATCAAAAAGAGACTATATTAAAGCTTCTAAAATTTTAGCCACATTAACATTTACAAAATCAAGGGTGCAGCCTGGGATAATGGGGAAGGCAAGCAATAACTACAACTGATAATGCATACATGACTCAGTGTAGACAGAATTCATTATTAAAATCAACCATAATAGTATTATTAGTCATTTTAATTTCCCTTTAGGGCCTTTTTATTCGTAGGAAACTAAACAGATGAAATGGACTCTATTCATTTTTTAACATTTTAACTGTTATCATTCTGCAGTGGTACATCCTGACCTTTTAAAACCCCATACCCATACCTGTATTCCTCCATGCAGATTTTTGGTTCAGTTTTCCAGAGCTCTTTTTTTTTTTTTTTTAAATGGTTCCTGTGCTTTTTCACTTAGAACCATTTTTTGACATTGTTCCATTTTATTTATAGCAAATATAATGGAAGTGATAATACGTGCAGTTTAAATTCAAGATCACGTGAGGGCTTCCCATGTGAAATTTATTTCATGAAGGAAGCTAATATTAGGGTGTTAGTGTATTGTAGCTTTTAAAAATAACTCAAAATACTAGTTCTCTGTTAACAGGAACCTGATTAAAAAACAAAACAAAATGTATCCATACGGAAAACAAACTTCTCTGTCCAGACCATATGCAGTTTTTTTCAGTTCAAACTTACCTTTTTCTCTAATCTGTCCATAGAACTTTTCTGGGATATTGATGACAATGAAGGGCACTGAATTTTAAAAGAAATTCCTGGTTCAGAATAATAGAGATGCATATTTTAAAAAAATCCTCGAAACATTAAACATTGAAACAAAAAAGGGATCATGAGCTACTGTTGATCTAGGGCACTTAAGAATGAGCTGCTGATGAATTACATATTTGACACTTTTCAACTTGTGTTAAATGAACCAATCATTAGTAGTGTCTCTTTTTAGAGTAGTAGTCTGTGGACTTGAGACTTTTAAACCAATGGTTATATGGAGCAGGGTTTCGATGGCCGAAACACTAGTTCAAGGAGTCTTAGGAAGCAGGCAACAGAATCTTTTCTGATGGCTTGTCTTCAGTTTATTGTAGTTTTGCATTTCAATCTTTTTAGTAGCTTTGTTTTCTAGAAATCTGGGTTTGTCAGTGCTTTACCCTCATTGCATTTTGACTTTTCCCCACATCTTTCTTGTGGGAGAACTCTGTGGCCTAGTAATATTTTTCTCAAATTATATTAGCGTGGTAAAGAGATTGATATACTTGGGGTGAATGCTCTGGGAAATATTTGGGTATATGGTAGCTATGAACTGTTAACTTTATTTGCAACAATGGCTCTTTATAAGGGAATGGGTCATGGCTTAGTTTCCTCTTTGAAGGGTGCATGGCAGAGATGATTGTAATTGTTCTTGTGCTTCTGGAAAGTGCTTTTGGGAAGGGAAGTCATTCACTTTGACAGTGAAGAAAGGAGAACATGAGAGAAGCTTTGGTTTGAAGGTGTATGTGGAAAGAAAGCTCAAGTTATGTCAGAGGGAGTCTTATGGAATCAGGACTTACTGGCACGTGCAGGTGTAGTTTCCAGTGCCTTTTGGGCACAGAGGTTGGTACTGAATTAAAGTCCTGAAACTTAACCTGTCTCAAGTGTTAACAAAGCAGGTGGCTGTGAAGGATCTTCAGCTCGTAGCTCTGCAGTCCCTTCATGCCTCTCAGCAGGGGGAGAGGAAATTCTTGACTTTCTGAAAGCGGTGGAATGCAGCCCTACTGTTGGGCTCTGGCAGATCAGTAATCCAACCCTTTCTCCTCTCCTCACATGGCCCAAGAGATACACTGGCTATTTGTGGAAGGGATGGACGCTGCTCTGAGGGGTGATGGGGAACTTGGAGACATCCCATTTGTCGCCTTCCCTCTGTGAATATCTGTACATATTCAGTGACTGAAAGTAAAGTTAACGAGGTTTAGTGGTATGGCTCTCTGGTACAGCCAGCTAATGCACATGGATCAGTATTTGGCCCTTAGAGAATAAAATATAAGCTGTTAACCCACCACAGTTCACTTTAGACTACCCATTCTCTGTCCTGATCATAACTAGACTGACTGATGGAGAGTGGGGGGGATTCTATGTCATCTTTTACAATAGTTAAGCTATTATCTAACATACTTTTAGAAACGTATTGCATCTGAGGGTGATGTCACATGACACTTACATAGGTACGATCTGCCTTTATACCAGTGTAAATGTGGACTGGACCCTTGATAATACAACCCTGTACTAGTGTAAATGCCTGTAGTTTGGAGTAAATTTGCCTTTGGGAAAATCAGAGGTCACAATACACCAGTGCATTATACTGGTGTATGATCTGTGCGTCAGCAGCTCTAGTCCAGGAGTCAGCAGCCTTTTGCCAGCACAGGCTGGAGCTTATGAGCTGGCTGTCACTGTGGGCTGGAAGTCTATCCCTCCCCCATCGCTGAGTGGCTGGCTGATTCCTGGCTCCTTTGCAGCAAGGGGAATCTCAGAGGCTGCAGAGCAGCAGGTCTACAGGGGAGGGGAGCTCTGCAGAGTGGAGGGATGGTGCGATGCAGCTGTGTAAGCCCAGTTACCCCCATGCTGGGTTGGACTTCTTTGCAGGCTGGATCAGATTTCTTTGCAAGCCAGATGCACCTTGGGGGCTGTAGGTTGTCTATCCCTGTTCTAGTCAGTTTAATCCTGAGGTTAAGATAGTTGTTTGCTTGATGGAAACATGTCATTTCTAACTCCCCATCACGCAGCAGCAGGGTACTGTAGTAGCTCCTATTGCAGACTTCAACTTTGGGAGAACTGGTTGTATTTCCATTTGGGACACCAGTGTGGTTTTACAAATCACTGTAAGTTACACTGGTGTTAATATGCCTTAGGTGTTCGCAGAGGCCTAGCGGGTGCAAAAGAACTCTCCGTGGTGAAGTGGCTAGTATTTGCTTTGGATTCGGCTGATTTAGGGGACAGCGATTCGATTCAGTGATTTGAATCATTGTCCCAAATTGATTCGGCCACCACTGATTACCACAATCGGCACCATACATACAGGCTGGGGAACTCCTCTCTTGTCAGCACGGAGGTGGAAAAGGATCTGGGAGTCATTATTGACTCCAAGATGAACATGAGTCGGCAATGTGGGGAGGCGGTTAGGAAGGCCAGCTGCACCTTGTCGTGCATCCACAGATGCATCTCGAGCAGGTCCAAGGAGGTGATCCTCCCCCTCTATGCGGCACTGGTCAGGCCGCAGCTGGAGTACTGCGTCCAGTTCTGGGCGCCG